GTCGGGGTGCCGACGCCGACAGTTGCGTTCCTCCGATGGTGCGCGCTGATGTCGCTGCCCTGCCGGCGACCCACGCCGCGCGGGCGTGGCGTGGCTCATGCCATAAGCTGCTGCCGCGCCAGCTGGTTGGATCGGCGCGCTCGGGCGCGGACCTCCCGGGGCGGAGGCGCGGCACCGCGGTGCCGACAGGCGAAGTGACTTCGCTCAATGACTTGTCAATGACGCAACGTCAGGACTTTACAATATGGCAGCGCGTTCGGAATTTACATCATGCTCGAACACGATGGCCCAACAGTATGGCGCTGCATCGCGGGGGCAGTCAGACAGACATGCTGACCGACATTGTGATTTTTTGTGTGTTTTAGCTTGCGTGTGGTCATGCTGTCGGGGCGCCAAAGGGGCGCGCGAGAAGGCGACGTTCTCGCTTGCTGCTCGCCCCTGGGCGCGAGGGGCGCGGCGGGGCTGGCGGGCGGCGGGTCTGTCCGGCAGCCCCGCCCCCCCCCGGCGCCGCGATCGCCTCGCAGACCCGTCGAGTTCAATCCCAGAGTTGTCTGGGAGTCATCCGCGAGCCCCTTGCGCCATTCGATATGGGAACCTGCCAGTTCGCGCGGTGATCCGTAGGGGCTTCGCCCCCTGCCGCCGGCCCTCTCTCTCTCTCTCTCTCTCTCTCTCTCTCTCTCTCTCTCTCTCTCTCTCTTTCTCTGTCTCTGTCTCTGTCCCTGTCTCTGTCTCTGTCTCTGTCTCTGTCTCTGTCTCTGTCTCTGTCTCTGTCTCTGTCTCTGTCTCTGTCTCTGTCTCTGTCTCTCTCTCCCTCTCTCACTCTCTCTCTCTCTCTCTCTCTCTCTCTCTCGAAAAAGTGGGCCATGCAAGAGCTAAATCATGAGGCCTCGGCGCCGCCGCGCAGCAGCGTCGGCAAAGACAAATTTGATTCTGATGATACTGCTGAACTCAATGTTGCACTTTGAACGATGATGATACGCGAATATATCATAACCTGCCGGGGTTTACGGCTTCGGGGTCGCAGATATAGCGTAATTTACGCAGGCTTATGGCTTCGGAAACGCAACAAGTTTCCATAATCTACAAGGTGTATGGCTTCGGGCACGCAAATATAGCGTAATGTATGAAGGATTAGGGTTTCGGGGCCGCAAGTATAGCGTACTTTGCGCAGGCTTAGGGCTTCGAAGACGCGAATATTACGTAATGTACAAGGGTTTGTGGGTCCGGGTACGCGAACACAGCGTAATGTGTATGGGTTTTTGGCTTCGGGGGCGCAAGCATTAAATCATTCCCCATGGTTAATTGCATCGGGGACGCAACAATTATTCCCCACATCCAAAGTGGGGTTATTGTTTTCTCTGGACACCCCGCGCAGGAACAGGAACACACACACACCCACTCACACTCACTCACACTCTCTCATCATCAACCTCATCAGCATCATCGATGATGCTCTCTCACATGCTGAGTCACTCACATACTCATCACCATCATCATCACTCGCACTCTCTCACACGCTCACGAACATCATCATCATCATCATCATCATCATCGGCATCGGCATCATCCTCATTCAAACATCATCATCGCCACCACTCATCTTCACCACCACTCATCATCCTGATCCTCATCATCGTTGAGTAAATTGTGAGGAAGTCTCAGGCGGGAGCCCCCTCCCTATGGGGCCCGCAGATCATGTTGGTAATCCGAGCGGGTCATCGGATCCTGTAACTGTCGTCACTTTTGAGCTCCCCAGGCCTGAAAATGGAGGAAGTCTCAGGCGGGAGCCTCGTCTGTGAGTGAATTGGGAGGAAGTCTCAGGCGGGAGCTCCCTCCCTATGGGGCCCGCAGATCATGTTGGTAATCCGAGCGGGTCATCGGGATCCTGTAACTGTCGTCACTTTCGGGCTCCTCAAGCCTGAATTTAGAGGAAGTCTCAGGCGGGAGCCTCGTCTGTGAGTGAATCGGGAGGAAGTCTCAGGCGGGAGCTCCCTCCCTATGGGGCCCGCAGATCATGTTGGTAATCCGAGCGGGTCATCCTGATCCTGTAACTGTCGTCACTTTTGGGCTCCTCAAGCCTGAATTTGGAGGAAGTCTCAGGCAGGGGCCTCGTCTGTGAGTGAATTCTGAGGAAGGTTCAGGCGGGGGCCCCCTCCCTATGGGGCCCGCAGATCATGTTGGTAATCCGAGCGGGTCATCGGAACCTTGTAATTGTCGTCACTTTTGGGCTCGTCAAGTCTGAGTTTGGAGGAAGTCTCAGGCGGGAGCCTCGTCTGTGAGTGAATTGGGAGGAAGTCTCAGGCGGGAGCTCCTTCCCTATGGGGCCCGCAGATCATGTTGGTAATCCGAGCGGGTCATCGGAACCCTGAAACTGTCGTCACTTTTGGGCCCCTCAAGCCTGAATATGGAGGAAGTCTCAGGCGGGAGCTTCGTCTGTGAGTGAATTGGGAGGAAGTCTCAGGCGGGAGATCGAGGCGCGGGCGCGGAGCTTGCTGATGTTCAGGCCCAGCGAAAGGGAGTTCACATGGCAGAGCTCGGGGGCGCACATCGTGCGCCGCTCGGGGTTCACCCTGGCGCGCGCGTCCTACCTGACCTCCGCGCTGTCGCAGGGCCAGACGCTGCGCATGGGCGTCACCATCGACTGCGCGAGAGACGAGGACGCTGGCCGCACGGGCATGTCGGACGAGCAGTGGTGGCTGCACCTCTACGTCATGTTCTCCCGCGCCACGTGCATGCGGAACATGCTGATCCTGCGGCCGCCGCCGCGAGAGTTCCTGGAGTGCGGGCCGCCGGCGTCCCTGCGGAAGGCGCTCCTGGAGTTCGACAAGAGAGCGGTTTTGTCCAGGGCGGAGGCGAAGCAGCTCGCGGCAGAGCTGGGCTTCGTGCTGCCTTCCGCCTGAGCGCGGCTGCGCCTCGCTCGAAGCCCGCGGGGTTGTCCCAACGGCTTGGTCTTGCGCGCCAGCGGCTCGCGGGGTTGCCCCGACAGCCTGGCCCGCGGGGTTGTCCCAACGGCTGCGCGACGTGACCAGTAGAGAACGCGCCTGTGCTGGCCGTGGCGGCGACGGCGCCGAGGAACATCGATATGCGCGCTCATGCAACAGGAAGGGGAGGAGGTGGCGGGGCGCGGAACAAACAGGGGTGCGAGGATGGGGACAACGTAAGGAGTGGAAGGGGGGCCCGCGCCAAGGCGAGAGGAAATATACGCAGAAGAGACAGCCAGGACGCCTCACCAACCACGAGGACGACGGTGATGGCTTTTTCCAGATTCGCCCAGAGGATTCTTATGTGGGGTTCTTCCGTCGGAGTAATTTAAGTTTGTTTTATAGCTTCGGACACGGAAGTATAGCGTAAACTGCAAGGGATTATGGGTTCAGGGGCGCGAGCGTTGCGTGATTTACGAGCGTTTGTGGATTCGGGCCGAGGACGCGAGTGCATTGTATTTTGCAAAGTTGAATGGTTTCGCGGGCGCGAATATTGTGTAATACGCGACGGCTTACGGCCTCGGGGATGCGAATCTTGCATATTTTACAAAAAGGTTTATGGCTTCGGGGGCGCGAATTTCATGTATTTGTGCGTGTCCCACGCCCCCCCAGGAATTCAGGCGTCGCGATTTGCGGGCGTTTTTCGGCGACTCCCCTTTGCGCAGTGGAAACTAGAAACTGGAACTGGTGCAGGGAGCATCAAACCCTACCCTGAGCCTACAGCCTGGTGGCCCCACAAGGGGGCCGGCGGATTTTCCAGAGACGTCCGCGATTTCGTCCTCATTTGTTGCTTCGCCGTCCGCTAATTCCCGCACTTCGCACTGCAGGGTCAGTTTGTGGAGAGGCGCATTCGCCCACAGGTGACGAACCGACCCATGCAATCGAAAAGATTGATAATGATCGGGCCTATTTTTCTGCCGATGTCAGATCTCGCCGCGCATGCGCGCTGTCGACGTAGCCCACTCATCGGCAACCGACACCGACGACGCGTTTTACTGGCAACCATCAACACCAACGCATGTCAGCAGCAGCCATCGCCACCGACACACGATGGAAAAACAGACACGGTCACACCATCCCAACATTTTTTGGCAGCACCGTCGCAACGCACTGCCGACTTGCATCGGTGACGCATGTTTCTCGAAACTTCCGCTTCATCATGCTTTTGCCGCGATCGAGTAGGATGGTTGGCTTGGTTTGGGACGGACACCGCCTCGGAGAAATTGGGAACACAAAGCATTGCTCGCGGCTTGCGTCAAACAGAACACATGATAACACTTTGTGTGTGTGATATGATGACATGGATGCGCAGGCACGAGTGGGCGCTGGTCCATAGGATGGCACAAGGAATGGCGCCCGCCCGCATGCATGTGTTTCCTGGTCGTTTTCGCTGCCGCTGAAGGCGCCCAGGCGTGGAGGACTCCATCGACCATGGCCTGGCATTGTGCCGCGGACAATCGCTGTTTCGTGAGTGGGAACCCACTGGCGAGGCAAATCCTTCCCGAACGGTGCGCTGAGGGAACCTGCTGATGGTGCGCCGCCGTGTTTGCATGCCCTAGTGCATGTCCTTCGGGCTGCGGGACCACCACGACGCCAGCTCCGCCAGCTACGCTTGCCACCTGCCCGCCTTCGTGGCCGCGAAGGCAGGCGCAACCTCCGAGTGAAGCCCCGTGCCGTGGCCTGACCGCGGACGGCCCGCTCCAGGTTCTGTGCCGCTTCTCCCTCCCTCCCTCCTCCCTCCCTCCTCCCTCCCTTCCTTCCCTCTTCTTTCCCTCCTCCCTTTTCTTTCCCTCCTCCTTCTCTCCTCCCTCTCTTCTCCCTCCCCTCCCTCCTTCCCTCCCCTCCTCCCGTCCTTCCCTCTTCCCTCCTCCTTCCCTCCTCCTTCCCTCCTGCCCCCCCTCCCTCCCTCCCTTCCCTCCCTCCCCTGTCTCCTCCCTCCCTCCCTCCCTTCCCTCCCTCCCCTCCCTCCGACCGCGCCCTCCCCCCCCCGCCGCCGCCGTCCCCGTCGTGCCCGAGAAGGTCCGCTCCCGACACCGGGCGAGGGGCCCGCCAGAACCGCCACCGCGAGGGCGGGGCCCTCGGCGCCGGCCGCCGGCCGCCGGCCGGACAGCCCGCGCGGACTCCGCGCCCTCGGCGGCGTTCGTCCCGGAGGCGTCTCCGTCCAGGGTGGCGAGGAAGAGGGAGAAGACATAACAACAGAAAAAGAAGGGGAGGAGGAGGAGGAGGAGGAAAAGGAGGATGATGAGGAGGAGGAGGAGGAGGAGGAGGAGGAGGAGGAGGAGGAGGAGGAGGAGGAAGAACACCCGAGGAATGTGCCCGTGCTGCCAGAGTTCAGCCTCTCCAGCAGCTGGACGAGTAGGGACCCGTGCGTAAACTCTCGTTGCGCCTCTGGGTACGTGCGAGGAGGAGGAGGAAGAGGAGGAGGAGGAGGAAGAGGAGGAGGACCAGTGTAAACCAAGAGTCGTCAACGATGTTGGGGTAAGCCCTCTCTCCAAGCTCCCTCTCCACAGGCCCCTACAGCGGTCCATTTCCACTGAGGGAGCTGTCGCGTTGGAAGACAACCGTTTGAACACCTTGAAGTATGTCAACATGGTGTTCTCGGGATTCCAATGGCCACGGTCAACCTGGCTGTTGCGTCTTGACGATCCTGAATCGTGCCAGAAAACCATTTTTGAGACTTCAACACCGCGAACTAACGCAACTGTTGCACCCTCAAAAATCATGAGCCCTTCCAGTACGCCATTTCTGGCACGTTAATCATGGGAACCCGTGAGTTTGTTATATATATATATACATATATATATATATATATATATATATCTAATCAACCAGCAAAAAACGAGAGCGCGCAGCGTTGAGGCGAGAGCCACATTTTGAAAAGGAGCCGCCCTCAATTCGTGAAACCCTTGCAATTTTCAATGCGAATGTGCGCAGCGCTCAGGCGAGAGCCAGATTTTGAAAACGACCCGGCCTCAATCCATGAAATTCTTGCAAATGTCTAGAACCGAATGTGCGCGGCGCTACGGCGAGAGCCACATTTTGAATACCACCCGCCCTCAATCCGTAAAGCTTTCGCAGATGTTTGAATGTGCGCGGCGCCAAGGCGAGAGCCACATTTTGAACATCACCCGCCCTTCATCTGCGAAACCGTTGCCACTCGTTCAGCTTCAGGGTCATAAGTGGTGAGGAAGTCTCAGGAGAAACGCCTGGCCCGCCCTGAAAAACTGGCCACGGGGTGCGACAGGGTGACGTCAGTTAGAAGATAAGATACTGGAGGAGGAGGAGGAGGAGGAGGAGGAGGAGGACATCGGTTGGAAGTCGTTGGCGATATGTGCTGTCAGGCCCTGAGGCGCCCTCGTCCTGGATGGCGAGGAGGAGGGAGGAGGAATCTCGGCCTCTTGGATGGGGTTCGAGTGGATGGGGTCGTAGGATCGCTCCGCATCGCCGATGCATCGGCGATGCGGCTCAGTGTGCACCTCGATGTTTTCCACGCCAACGGCGCCGACGTCACCAGTGCATCGCCAACGCATCGCAAATGCATCGCCGATGCATCGGCGCTGCAGTGCGATCCGCCGACCCCATCTACTCCGACCCCATCTGGGAGGCCTCTCAGGAAGGGGGTGAGGGAGGGGGAGCAGGAGGAAGGCGAGGGCCAGGAGGGCCAGGAGGGAAGGAGGAATTGAAGGATCCTGCTGGATCTTGCTGGCCAAACCTCCAGATATTCGAAGAGCGAATAGCGGTAGCGAGTGAACCCCAGGCCGTCCCTGGGCGATACAGGTTCGGTTTTGGTCAGAACGGCTTTCCTGCGGTGGGGTGTCGACCCTCCCTCAAACTGCCCAGACGTTCAGCCATTTCTCGGGGGTTTCCAGGAGGAGGGCGAGGGCCAGAAGGGCAAGGACGGAAGGAGGAAGTGAAGGAGATGCCGAAGGGGGGGAGGAGGAGGAGGAGGAGGAGGAAGAGGAGGAGGAGGATGATGAGGAGGAGGAGGAGGAGGAGTGCGGTCCTGCGCAGACCCGCGCGAGGCCTCACACTCCGGGAGCGTGCCGTCATTTTGGCCCAGCGTTCGTGCTTCTGACCCAGATTATCATTCGGACCCACTGGAGACCATCCAAGTGACTCAGCGGTCGTCCTTCGGACCCGCAGGAAAACCGCACGGGTGACCAGACAAAAGTTTTTCCGATTTGGGCCTAGCGGGCTTCCTTCGGACCTGGGGAAGCATTAGCCAGGTGGCCAGAGCACGTTTCCCTCATTCGCGCCCAGCGGTCGTCTTGCGGATCGCATGAACACACACATATCAGATATGCGGACTATATGAATGGTCGCTTGAACCGTAGGGGATGCACACACGACGCCCTTGTGCCCCTTCATCCCTTCCTCCCCTCCTGCGGCTTTCCCGTTCTCCTCCTTCCTCTTCCCCCTTCTCCTCCTTCCTCTTTCCCCCTCATCCTCTCCTGCCTCTTCCTCTTCCCCCTTCCTCTTCCCGGGGGCTATTGCAGGTTTGTTGTGCCATCATCGCTGCATTGTCGAATGTATTGTTAATCTGGGTTGCCGTCGGTCCGATCTCATCTTTGGGGTCAGAGACACACATGTGCGGACTGGAAGGGCAGTCCTTCGGACCAGCAGGTGTAGACGAGGTGGAGCAGGCTTTGGGAGGACCTTCTCAGCGATTTGTCGATTGCCTGTCCACAGGGATTGCGCGCCGCTCACTTGCTGTGCTTTTCCCGCCTCCTTCTCCGCGGCCGCCCTCTGCTTTCCCGCCCGCTCGAGCGCCCATTCCCGGCACGCCCTGCCGTAAGCGACACCCGCGCCCGCGTCCGCCGTCGGTGTGGATT